GATCAAAACCTCAAAAAAGCCAGAGAAGTTGCTGGTGTCAACAGAACACAGTTTAGCAGTACCAATACCCTGGAAGGAATTATTCTCCAACTGCTAATTCAAGAGTCTCCTCGTTACACTCTAAACCCAGATGCAAAACAGGCACCATGAAGATCCAGATTTTAAACCTGGTAATACTAGGAAGAGAAGGCAAGTATTTTCCCCTGATTTTATTTCATGAATCTGGGACTTAAAGAAATATCGCGCATATATTAATAACACTTGCATGCCATACAAGCTATGGATTTCCACATACATAGAATTAAAGATCAGCATATGACCCTTTGTTTAAAAAACACTCTGGTCATACAGAACTACAATCCCTCACTCTGACAGAGCTGAAAAAATAGTTTTAGAATTAGGTGTTAACACAAAGAAGAAAAGTACAGATTTGAGTGCTGCTTTTATAACTTCTCTGTTTGGCATTAGAAACAGCGTTTTCCCTTCTCCTGAGAACCTGAAAAAAATATTTTGGTTTTAGGGGGCAGAAAGACAGGGTAACCAGTACATAATCATTCTTTTTGATCAGGAGTTCTTTTTGCCTGTGGAAAATGCTGACAATAAGTGTTATAGTATTAAAAGGGAACTCTGTTCCATAATAAACTTTTCAATATATTTCCACTTAGAGAAGGACTTTCTTATAAGAGCCACTGCAATGTTTCACGACAGATGGAGCATCTTCTTTGTCTAATTTTTGAGCTTGACTAAAAGATGGACTAAGAGAACAGAAAACTGCAGGCTAAGAGAGAAGATGCAACAAGAGAAAGCAAGGTATTTTCAGAAAAAAGTGATAACATTCATAAGACCACAGTATCTACCCATTCTACCAGGAGAAAATTTTGCTCCAAAAGAATACAGAAAATATAAAGCAAATGTTTTCATTTATCAGACCCACTGGAAGTCTTGTTAAATCTAGAAGTGACTTACATGATGTTATATCTCTTTTGAAGTAGGAAATGATCAGTTAGATTTGGGAAGATCATAATCATGTTCATAATTACAATACTTTCTAAATGTCTAAGTTAATTTCCATATGAATACTAAAATGCATTTCCTTCTGTGTGGAGAAAGGGCACTTAAAAAAATAATGAAAAAAATTCTAATTGTTCTTCAACTAGGAAGTAGAAGCATAAAATCACACAAATCTTTTACTAAAGGCTTAAAAAAAACCCATCAACAAACCAAACCATCCACAAAACAAAAGAAAACCCTGTAAGACACTCACAGGAAGTAAAAAGCAAGCTCTTAAAATTTAGTGGGTTAAAGTAAAGGTATAAATACTTCAAAGGTATTTGCACATTACTAAGATTTTTAAGTACCTCACAAATTAAAGAGATGTTGCTGATATCTTGCTTTGACTAGATTATCTTGATAATGTATTTCAATAAAAAGAACTAATTATCTTATAATACTGGTCTAAAATTTTAGAGTAACAAAAACATCCTGCCCCAAACAAATGCAAAAAAAAAAATTATCAAGAATGTTTGAAAGAAATTCAAAATTAACAAAGCTGGAAACAATTGTTTATTCAAACACACTAGTCAACTAGCAATTGCATCTTCATACATGCCCTGTTTTTAGTGTGCAAACAGCAATCTAGACCAAGGTGTATTAAGAAGCCATCAATACACCATATGAACACTTTACAATTTTGATTACATTTCTCATTCCCCCACTGAAACCTTCAATGTATGGGTCTACATAAATTTCTCCTTAGACTTCTGTTGAAATTAGACAAAAATAACAATAAAAAGGGGCAATGCCTTACTTATATATAGATTTACATTTGACTGAGAAGAATAAGCATTTAAATATCCCAGTTAGCATATTTTAACTATTTTTCCTAAAGAATTTTCATGCCATTTACTTTTCTTTTCCTATTGATTAGCAAGACCATTTTATCAACAGACAAGGAAAAATGATGTGTAAGTATGCCAGTCTTAAATTCTTCTTATATACAAGTTTCATTGAATGTCTGAAGTAATAATAAAAATTAAGGTCTACTTAAATCTAATAGTCTACAAAACTCAATTTTAAAATGATGAAGGGCTGGATTTAGTTTAAACTAACAAAATACAGAAAATTCAGTTGCTTCAGATTTAAAACTTAAAATAGTCATGCCTAAGATAGCAAACAATGGTTGATTTTACATGTATTGTAGCAACTAGGAATTAGTTGCATTTATAGCTACAGATCTCTTTCAGGAAAATTATTTCAGTTGCCTTTGCAAAGCAAGAGAAGTCCTTAAAGAAATCATAAACAAATTGTAAAAGTAATCTGCAACAGTTCCTTTTGGATGAGCAATAAGCATGCATTGACAGCTTTCAAATTATGATTTAGTTAACAATACTTGTAGACCCTCAAGTGTTATACCTACAGTAGGAACAGTAGAGGTGGCCATGAAAAGTACCACAACTGAAGCACTTCAGTAAAGAAGTCTGCACATTTTTATCTTTTCAACCTCATTACAATTAGATATTGCAAAACAGTTTACAAAGTCAAGCACACAGCTTGCAATAGCCACATAAGCAATTTTTAAGGAGCAAGCACTGCAGGCCCTTTATTCAGGCTCAACTTCCAATAAAATCTGTAGTTGTTTTGCTAAATAAGAACTACAATAGGAGAGGCTAAGAGCAGGAAAATAAAACAAATGCACCCCACCACCTTTCTTGCAAGTTTCACTTACTCTTCGGGTCAAGAAACATTCATATTGACTACAGAGTAAAAAATAGCTCTAGAAAAAAAAATTAATATGGGCCAAAATTCAGCACAAAAATATTCTAGAGCAAATCAACACCTTAAGTGGACCCTAATCATAACTGACAACTGCAGCACTCTTAAAAGATACTAGGGCTTGTAAATGGGAAAGACTCAATTACTACATTACTGCAAAATTCTTTGCACTTTCTAAAAAAACATTTAGACTTGTCTTAAAGTTCTAAATACTTTAATATGTACTAAATTTGTAAAAGGAAAGGAAGTGTGCATCTAATGAGAATACCATTCTGCAAATCCTTATTCATGGTCGTGAGTCATTACAACTACTTGTGTATATTAAAGTTTGTAGGATTAGGCCCTAAATGTAAAATCCCTTTGATTTACAGTTGTGAACCAGAAACCACCTTTTTTGCTGAATAAGAATCTATGAAAAATACTCTGAACCTGTGTCAGACCAAGGAACACTCCATCAAACTTTCACCTTTTAAATATCTCACAAGGGAGTCTTAGATACCTTTGCCTTGCAATATAATCCTGATTTTCATTAACAAGAATGTAACTGCTTTTGTACAGGAAAAAAAAAATGAACAAACTCAAACTGTTCAGTGAAATCCTCTAAAATCCTTCTTTTCCTAAGAAAGCTACTAGAAAAAAAAAAAAGGGGGGGGGGAAGGAAAAAAGAAAAAAAATAGAAAAAGAAAATAAGAAAGAAACAACAGCAATGCAGCACCTCCAAAGCAGTTTCTGGACAGACCGAAATATTTATTTATTTGGGAGCATATTAGGCATGTTACCCAAACACAGTTACAACATTAAGAGAAGTACTTTCACTGTATGTTTAACCACATAAAGAAAGGATTAAAACTGAAAGAATTATCTACTCACTAATCACAAACTTCAAGGCTTATAAAAGTTAAGGTTTACTTCCTATACTTTCTGTATTCAAAATTTTCTTACTCAACTAATAATTTTCTCTAGGAGGTCTTAGCTACCCTAAAATCATAGTATTGTATGAAAAATATATTCAGAACCCATCTGCCTCAAGTACTTCTGCAACAAGAGGTGTACTGCTGGCAAATTCCAATAACTCTTCAGTTCTACCAGCCATTTCTTACAACAATGAGGAAATATGAAATTTACACCTCACTGGATTTGCTTGGTAGAAATTAGGAGTTACTGGGATAAACTGAAATCTTGGGTTTTAAAAACATTTCTGATTTTATGGCACAATTACTTCCTACAAAGAAAAAGTGTTCTTGAAGACAGACAGATTTGATTAAGGATAAAAACTGAATTCCAGCTGAAAGTTGGAATTGCTAAAGTCACAACATGTTCATAAAATTTGTTGTACTGTAATATGTTCTGCTGCAGATAAAGTCTTACAGATTTTACTATTCCATTTTGTCTTTAAACAAATTTACTCAATCCAAAACCGGTAACTATTTTCATTTCAATTGTCTGTGTAAATGGTTAGTTAAGACTATTCGTATATGAGTAGATAGGTTATGATTACTCTGAATGGATTTCTCAGTTTCAGCCGAATGAGTACTTTTAGTGCAAAGCAGGACTTGCAATATGAGTGTAGTACAGTCCATATTAATTCCTCTTAATTGTTCAGTGTTCTGCTATATAATATCTGTTTGTCAACAAATAAGATAGATAAATTTTCTGAATATTCTGGAACAGATGGACGGATCTGAAAACCTGTTCTTTTTTTCTGTTTTCTGCTTTGCTTGTCAGGTAGCTACTTTATTAATGTCTTTAAAACCAAATTTTACACACTACATGGAAATTCACTCAGCTAGCTCTCTATTCTATTCTTTAACACACCCTCCCAACAAAAAGAAAAGTTATTGAAAAATAATTTTTTATATCATCCATACTTTGTTTTTGGATTAGCAACATTTCAGTTGGAGTAATTCCCAAGACAGAAATATGAGAACAATAGTATATGGAGAATTTATATAGCTCAAATGGATCAAGGCTGTTGCAAACTCAGCTTTTTATACATATTTTTGGCCACTTCATTTCCTTCTGAGCACAGTCTGTATTAATACTTTTAATTAGTGTTTTATAATTTTACAGGAGAAGTGTAAAGAAGAATTATTTTAACAAATAATAAATTCTTGAACAATCCCATTAGAACTGGCCTATTTTGAATAGTCTGAATAAGTTATACTACTGTGTACATTTTTTTAAATAAAGAACATATGTAATAAGAGAAATGTTAATATAATATATACCATGCTCATGCTCCATCAACCTTCCAGAGAGTTTTTCAATCACAGGAGTAAGCCATTCTCCAAAATCAGCTCTCTATTGAAAGGTCAAAACCTGCAATAAAAATGTCATGTATTATAACATATTTCCAACACCCACAGTTTCATGGTTGATCCCCAAACATAGATGTAGGTCATCAGCTTGACCCTCGCATTGTCTAGGTTACAGGAAATCTTAATTTTAAAAATACTTTTTTTTTAAAACCAAACTGACTTGATTAGGAACACCTGTGATATGCCTCTTTATTATCAGAAGCCTCCTGAAACAAATCAGATTAGCATGTTTCTGCTTTCATTCTACCCACAGCATTTTAAGATGAAAGTAAGAGGAAGGAGGACAAAAAAAAAAAAAAAAGAAAAAAAAAAAAAAGAAAAAAAACTGAGTAAGGGGTGTTGTTCTCCCCTTCCTACCCACTACTAATCCCTCCTTCCCCCTTCAATCAAGCAAACATGTAAGTTTTTTTAGTAAGTAAACAACTTAATGGATGTGTGATTACTGCTGTCATATGTCCATATTTGCTGAGATATGCTATTGACTGTTAAGTATTTAAATTCTAGTGTTTCACTTTAAGGAATTTGATTTTTTTTTTTTTTTTTGCTCTTCAAGGCAGTACCATTAAAATTCAGCCTACAAATATTAGCTACTTTACAACATATAATGGAAAAACTATGCTAATATAATACATTCTGAGATTAAATAAAATTTTAAGAGTTAAAAAAAAAATTTTAAAAATTAAAATAAAAAGAAGCCCTGATTAGGTAAGAACAAAGGATAACTTGACAGATGCAGTAAAGATACCCAAATAGCTACTGGAGGAAATACTGCATTCACAAAGACCAAATTGTAAATTTGTTTTGACTTTATTTGAACTTTTCATTGTAGACACCATAACAAGACACATCCTATGCCTAATAAATTAATAGCTGATGCCTAGATCAGGTCACCTGCTTATAAATACTTCCACAATTTTGTTTTTTCTTTGAGAATATTCCAGAAGATACTACAACCCCCCTCACAGCTATGAAGTTCTAATAATCACCCTGCTTTAACAAGAAAAAGGAGTTTGTATCTTCATGTATTCCAGACATCATCTATTTCACCTTTTTAAAAAAAAGTTTTTGTTCTTAAACCAAACCCACCAAAGTTGTGGTCACTCTCTGTGCTTATATTGAGATTTAACATACTTGAAGATTATATTGAAACTGGACTTACACAAAGCTATTTAATATGAAAATACATGCCTAAGCCCTATACGATGTGTAATTATCTTTTTCTCAGACCAAATCTTCAAGAGAATTTCAGTTCATGCTAAAAAAAATAATTAGTTGTAACCAGATTCAATGCTAAAAAGTTTGTTAATAATCTATTTACTGCAGATTCACTCACTACAGTTTCTGAAATCAAACTAAATAGTCACGGGGTGGGGGGGTCCTATTTCTAACAGTGGTTTCCTTTAGACATTAATAACGATCACTGAAAGTCACTCCTATCTTTCAGTTTTAAGAAATATAACAATATCACCTTCAGTTTTAGAAGACGTCTTGGGAAACCTTTAACAAAATAAAAGCTAAATGTACATAATTTGCATTTGCTACTGTTGTGTGCACATTGTAATAAATGTGTGTGTGTGATGTCATCCTTATACACTAGCAACTGTCTATTACTGAGCTCTGGAAAAGTGTTAAGAATTACATAAAGTTTAAAAATTTAGCATTCTCTGTAAAAATTTTTTTGTTTGTTTTAATGATGCACTAAAAATATTATTACATGCAAATATTAGAATAAAAAATAGATCAACTTCAAGTGTTAGCTCGACTACAGCTCAAGTTGTTCTCCTTTCTCTAACACTCATCCAAATTTTCTAAAGCTCTTACACAGCATTCAAAGCTAAGATCAGAACTATTCCTCAATTGTGGTAATATTAGCTGAATCCCAATGTTTCGTTATTAGAATAAGTATTTTAAAAACGTACAGGAAAGGGTTAAAAAAATAATCAATACAGACATCGCCTTACACCCTTATGGGCAGAAATTTTTATACCTAGCTTACTCTGAATATTTCTGAAATTGTCCAGTATCCACAATGAAGGCATTTTTCAATAAAGAGATTTCTTTTTGAAATCCAACTTATGTATAAATACACCAGTAACCTAAAAATTCTGCATAACTCCTGCCAATAATGCACAAAAAAACCCTGCAAAGCAACATTTTCACTGAATAAAAGAGGTTACTGGAAATCTGTGGCTACCCCTCTCTACTCTGCCTCCTGTCCCCTTTCTATCTGAGGGGCATATCAACTTTTTTTTTCTATCTTTAAAATACATTACTAGTTCTATTAAAAAAATAGATGGCTGTGAGAAGAGTCACAGGGGACTAAGTTCAAATTTGGGCAGCCTGTTCAAACAAAATTTTCCAAGTATTACTGATAATAGAAAACAATTTTTTGAGATCAGGTTCCAGTGTTAGATATATAGTGTTTAGAACTTATAATAATAAATAGGTGAAAAAAAAATCCATGGAGAACACTTACTGGTGTACATGAAGTTATTTTTAGTTTTAAAAACTTTCTGACAAAAATATTTTTGTTTCTACAGAAAAGTCTACAATTTCATTCCCTATTTCTTTCATAGACAGTCAAAACTAGTCCAAGATGTGCTCTACCCTTGACAGTTTGTAATGAATGTGAATTACTCAAATAACATGCAATGGGCCTTTGGGTGTGGGTGGATGACTGCATCTACAAAGCAGAATACCTGCAGCATATTCGTAGAATACAGTGATAACCTTCTTGGGTCTCCCTTACATATTCAGTACTTAATTGCTCCCCAGAGCAAATAACAAAACCCAGTAAGGTCCTATAAGAGTACCACTAACTGATCTGTGGCTACTCTTCCTGTAAAGAAAGCTCATCTGCTTTTACATGTGTAAAAGTGTATCAGAAAAGCAGTGATACACCTGTCAGGATGGCTTCTGACTCTCAAGATGGGTGAGATGTGCATCTTCACACAGTGCTCACAGGCAGGATATACAGGCCCAGGTAGTTTGTATGCAGTCCCAGTTGTACTTCACTGCAGAATTTGACTTATTAGTCATAAAAATAATTAAGGAATTAAAGACTCCAATTTATTTTTCCTTCCATGACATTACATTTTGGATGGAATAGTAATAGGTTCAGAATTCCATGAGCTAAGGATAAAAAAAAACCCAAACAATGAACTAAATAGAAAAATAACCCCATGATACCTTGGTATCTTATATGTAGTCTGCCTTTAAAATGTTACTACAATAAGCTTTCTATGAAGTATTAGCCTAACACAGTAAAAGGTCACACAGATATAAAGTCATACTTTCAAATTATTGTTAATTCTGAAAATTAAAAATTCTCGAGAGTTACTTCCAGCTTCAGTAGATTTATATCTATAAAATGAGATGGTACCCCTTCAAAACTTTCAGTAAAACTTTAGAGGAGAAAAAGAAAAAAAAAACCCCGAACCAAATGAAGCTTATTTGGGTGTTTTTCCTAAGTATCAATATAAAGGATTAGACTCAAAAGAAGCAAAGAAAAAAAAAGTAAAAAAAAAAAATACACTATGCTACATGTTATACCTAAGCAAGGTTTAATTAAGCATAGAACTTCAGCTTTCACTTATCGATAAAATATAAATATATAAATTTAGATATTCAAGTTCAATTGATATTTCCTCCAAATGTAACTTTTCCAGTGCCAAGTAATCCCAGTTAATGTTTGACATTTTAACTGAGGTAAAAAATGCAAGCAGCTCTACAAGGGTCTATTTAAGCTCATGATTCCCCCCCCCCTAAATATCTCAAAAATAAGGAGTACATCAAATATAACAAAGGAAAAGTTATTTAAAATACACTATATATTCATATTAGATTGCTTACTGCTTTCATTTTAGCCACACCCACCTTTATGTAATTGTAAAATATGAGAACAGTGCAGCTGAGAAATAAGAAAGCTTAAAAGAACAGTTGTTTCATGTAGGCAAATACGTGCTAAGCATGAATTTTAATTAAAATTAAAAACAGGTATAAATTGCATGCTATTTAACATGACTAGTGGGCAAAAATGCACACGCACCTGTACAATACTGAATTACAGGGCTTTTTTTGTAAATTAGCTATGAGTCAGGACAGTTATTTCATTGAAAGTGAAAGTCAGTATTTGTGAGTGCACTTCCACAGCGGAGTAGTATAAATCTCTTCAAATTGCGATATTTCAAAGTATACACAGCTACAGTGAAACAGCTTTGTGCACATTCCCATACTGACTGTCAAAAACATTTCTGAAAACACTCTGAAAGGAATGATGCAGAGCTAAAGAAATGAGTCCTAAATCTCAATAGGATCTTACCAGTATCTCAATTTCAAAGATTAAGTGGAATTTTCTATCAGGGCACAAAGGTATGAATTGCGGAGACAAACTAAGCAGCTATTCCCAGGAAAAAAAATAACTGAAAAAGTGTAATTTACATACTGGATTAAAAGAATCCAGGGAAACTAGGGATTTGAGACAGAAAAATCTCCTTGAACTGTTGGATTTCTGCATTACACAGAAAATACCTTGAATCACAATCCAGTTGCCATGCTGGAAAAGCTAAGTTTTGCATTTCACTTTAAGACTACACGCTCTCAGCCATGTACACAAAAATCTTTTGTACAGGACTTCTGCACCCCAACTCTTCTCTACGTCCCTCCTACGTCCCTCGGTTAACTCGTTATTTTCGGTGGCCGGAGCGCTAAGCGCAAGGCGGCCGCTTCTGGCTTTGAACGCCACGGAGGGATGCGCGGGGGGGCAGCGGGGGGACGGGGGGGCAGAGTGGGGGGGAGGAAGAGGAGCGGGGAAAGGCTGTGACCCGGTCCAACCTCAGAGCCCCAGCCCCGCGTCCCAGAAGGCAACCAGGGGAGGCAGCAGCCGGTCCAGCCTCGGCTGAACGGGCGCCTTAACGGGGGACCCGATGCATTCGCTGCGCATCCTGCGCGCCCGCCAGCTCGACGGCAGCCCCGGGCGCCCGCCGCTCACACGGCATCGGGGAAAATATCCATACGCCTTCCTACCTCCGGTAAAAAAAAATTAAATAATGATAAAAAAAAGGTCGGGCGGCCGAAAGTGAAGAGGGAAGTCGGAAGAGGAATACAAAGTAACGCTTAGAAATTGTGGCTGGGAAGGAGCCCGCTGGCCTGGCAGCGCCCGAGCTCCCTCCCGGCCCCGCCGCACGGTGCTGTCCCCGCCGGCGCTCTCGCCACAAAAAGATGCCTTGTGAGCCTGTGTGCGCAACTCCGAAACGCGAGCGCCCACGCCAGATCCGGCCCCGAGGGGGTTAAACGGCGTCGTGGAGAAAAAGGCACCGTGTCACATATTATATGTGTATGTGTGTGTGTGTGTGTGTGTGTGTGTGTGCGCGGAGGGGGAATCGCTCAGCGCACGGGCTGCGAGAGATCTCGGCGCCTATCACAATAAGCACGATCGCGTTCATACAGCTACGAGAGACCGAGAGCTGCTGGCCACCGAGAAATGACACAGAGACAACCACCAAAAAATAGCTAAGCCAATGACAAATAGCGACCCGGGTGACAGAGACAGAGAATTTTGTAGGCGGAGAAGAGGAGGTGAATGGCCAGCTCTGATCACAGTATTAGGCTGGGCTATCTATGGGGAGGGTATTTACTCGGTTTTGGGGTGTGTGGGAGGAGAGGAAAAACACCTACAAATAGCTGGCACGATTCAAATGGTTTCGGATTATGTTTCCCCCCCTTCGGTCCAGGAAGGAAACTCGCGTTTTAACGCTACGAGGGGGGAAAAAATAGCTCTGTGCAATAGGGGATGAAGAGCACTTTGGTCATTCGTTAATACCCAAAGGGGCAGAGATGATAAATGTGACAGCATGTGGCAGCACGACCGTCACCCGGGCTCCTGCAAAGGGCGGCTCCATATCGCGACACGGGAAATTAAGCGATTGAGTGGGAGGTGGAGAAAGCGCTTAAACAGAGAAGTTAATCTGCTAACATGGAGAGGAAACAAACAGAGAAAAAAACCCCGAAGGTTGTCCTCTATATATTTTTTTGGGGTGGGGGGATTGCGGGGGGAGAAGGGAAAGGGAAAAGAAAGAGCGAAGGGGCATTAATCCAGCTTACGAAAACACGAGGAGAGAGGAAGGAGGAGGCGGGGGGGGGGGGGGTTGGGGGCGGCGGGCGAGAAAGGGAGATGTGCATGTAAGTGTGGAAGTCATCCTGGCGGCTGCTGCTGCAGAGCCGGGAAGCAGGAGCCTCCGTGTCCCGGGCGCTGCCCCGAAATTTCCACGGCGGAGAGCGGTGGGGGGTGGGGGGGAGAAGGCGGGAGGGAGGGATCCGCTGGCGGTGGTGGGGGTGGGGGGGTGGTAGGGACCGGAGGGGAGATGAGGGGAAGCCTGTCCTATCATGTCTAGGGAGCGCGGGGCACCGGGACCCTCTGGAGCTCCGGCTGTCCCGCGGCTCCCGCCCGCCCCCCCGCCAGCCTCCGCGCCGCTCTCCCCGGGCCGGGTGTAAGCGGCGCTCCCGGGATCCCCGCCTGGGCGCGGTGCCGGCCGGGGAGCGAGCGGGGTTACCTGCCGGAGAGACGGCCGCTCCCGACTGCTGAGGCTGAGGGAAGCGAGTGACAGATCCGCCCAGGACCTGGCGCCGCATCCCGGAGCCTCCCGACCCGCTACCCGCCGGGCTTTCGAGGTGACTTTTCCCGGCGGCGGGTGCAGGTTGCCCCCATTTTCCAAAGACGCTCTTCCCCCGCCCGCCCAGCTCCCTCTGCCCCTGCCGCGCCCGGTCCCTCCGGCTCTTACCGCCTGTGCCGGCGGCGGCAGCGGCGGCACCCACTCCGAAGCGCGACGGTGAGGGTGGAAGCGGGGTAGCGGAGGGGAAGGGAGGTGAGTTTCGCGGGGCGGGAGGGCGGGCGGCCCCCGCGCCTCCCCCGCGGCGGCGGTAGCAGCGATGCGATCGGGCATCACTCGAAAATGGCGCCGAAAGAGCGGAGGGCTCTTCATTCAAATTCGTTAGCGCCAGCCCCGCCGCCCCGGGGCATGCCGGGAACGGGGGGGGGCGCGCGGGGGCTGAGGCGGCAGCGCCGCACGGACACGGCGCTCGCTGTCAATGCCGCCCCTCCCCCCCCGGCTCCCGCCGCCCGCGCGCGCGCTCCACGCCCTCCCCGCTCACCGCGCGCTCCCGACCCAACCGCCGCTAATGGGGAAAGGGGGGGCGGGGGGGGAAGAGAGGGAAGGAGGGAGAGAGAGAGAGGGAAATGTCACCCGGAGCCCGGGCCCGCGGGGGAGAGGTGGCGCGTTAGAGATGTGTGTGGGAGAGAGGGAGCGAGAGAGAGAGAGAGAGAGAGAGGGGGAGCGAGACCTCCGCTGGCCCCGCGAACTTGTCAAGGTAAAGGCGCCGGTGGAAGGGAGGGGGGTGGATAGGGGGGCACGACAGCGGATTTTGGGAAGGTAGGGAAAGGAAGCCCGGCTGGGGGAGGGGGATGTGCGCCAAGAGGACCTGAGGAAAATATGAACAGCGCCTCCCCCCGCGCCCCCCCCGCGCCTCCGAGGACCCCCGCGGCTCCCGCTGCGCTCAGGTTGCAGCCTGACCCCCCTTGTCCCCCACCATGGCCGCGCACCCCGCCGCAGCCAGAAGAGGGTTCGGAGCGCTCGGCGCTTGCCCGCAGCGCGCGGGCCCGATCCCGAACGCGATCCCGACTGGCAGCCGCCGCTCCCCATCCCCCTCTTGCCGCCGCACCGGCTCCGGGCGGCAGCGCCCCGGGGCGCCCCCCGACCGGGCTTGCGAGCAGCCCCTGAGCGGCGGAGTGCGGCTGTGTGGGCTCATCCCGGGACAGAGCGGGCCCGGAGCGCGCTACACCGGTCATTGCAAAAAAAAAAAAGAAAAAAAAGGAAAAAAAAAAAAAAAACAGAACCCCCCCCCCCCAAAAAAAAACAAACACCCCCCCCCAAAAAAAAGAACCACCAACCAAAAAAACCCACAAAAAGAAAACCAAACCAAACCAGCTAAAATACCCCACACCAAAAAAAAAAAAAAAAAAAAAAAAAAGGCAAAAAGCCCACTCGGAGAAACTTCACAGAGCGAGGTTCAACTCGGGCAGCGCTCCCGCCTCGGCTGCGCGCAGAGCGCTCGGAGAGAAGGCGAACTTTCATTTTCACGCCGCATCATCCCCTCCGCCCCAAGCTGACTGCTCGTAAGATACCTGATGGCCGGGTTAGTGCTCTCATCCACATTTCAGGGATGGGGAAGCCGAGATGGAGGTTAGCGAGCTGCCGAAAGCCGCTGGGGGAAGGCAGGCTACAGTGGCGCCCGAGCCACTCGCAGCCTGCACTTGACTTGTGCCTCATGAAGGGTCCTTCCCTGGGAGCTCCGCGGACCCTGCCTCGGCTGGGAGAGCCAGCGCATCCCTACCAGCCGCTCCTCGAGCTTTCTGTCTTCAATGCTTTTGGATTTTTTTCCTAATCTGATGCACTTTTTAGAAAGGGAAAGGAAAGCAGGAGCCTCAGACCTGCAAACTGTTGTTCTCATTACTTAAAGGAAGACTTTTCAGCAGTACATAATGGGAGTCCGGGAGCTCTGTTCCCACTGACTTTCAAAATCTTCCCTTCACGTCTGTGAGCAAGTCCTCTTGAACTCGGTTGGACTGCTGGCAGACGAGCGCTAGCAGGCTCAGGGCCTAATGCTTTTCATGATTCCACTTCTCCCTGCTAGAGCTGCACTGACAAAATATAAGCAGAACAAGTTTTGAAAGGGAGAGGTAATTTCTCTCGCTCTCTTTTTTTCCTTTTTTCTTTTTTTTTTTTTTTTTTTTTTAATCCCTGCCACAGTACAAAAAACCAAGCTTTTGGGCTCAAAAAACCTAAACCATCATGGCAACAAAAATTACTGCTGCTCAGAGAGTATGTAATTCTGAAGCTCCTTAAGGAAAAATGTAGTGCGATGCAACATGTAAGTAATCACATAGCTAATATTATGCATTTATATTATTATAGTTTCCTCTGAATTGAAGTTTGGTAAAGATACTGCTAAAGATACTGATAACTAATTCTTTAAAACCAGGTTCTCAAGTGAAAATGAGCCAGATGACGAAACTTCAGATTGTAAAGCCACTCTATTAAGAAGGAGGAAATATCAATTATTTGCAGTATATTTACTTTTTTGCTCTTTTATTAAAATTACTCTGAGCAAAATTTTTGATAAATATGCCTTTCAACTGAAAAGAATGATAGTACATATTTTCTAATTTTTTTTTCCTGAAGGTTATGTGTCTGTGAAAAGAAAACTTTGCAGTAGAAATAGCAGTGAAAACAGTAAAGAAAAATACAAAATTATGGCACTACTTATGCCATTTCTCTGTACTTATATTATGTGTACTTTTGCCCTAAAATAATTCTAGTTATTGTTTTTCACCCATTTTTCCAACCCTAATATGAAGATATGATGTAGAAAATAGAATGTCAATACACTGTTTCAGAGAAACAGTGTATCACAAAATATTGACAGAATATTCTCTGAAACAGAATATTCTCTGAAACAGTGTATCACAGAATACACTGTTTAAATTTCTTTAATATGAATAGGACACTACTTTCAGATATAATTCCTAAGATTTCATTAAGGTTTTTAATGAAAGTAAAATTTTTACATCCCCTAATATCTAGTACTTGCTCTCAGATTCCATTCTTAATGCACATAGGCCCCAGTTCTGCACAGACTGAAATGTATATTATTATGTGTAAGCACACTGAGTAGTTCTCTTTATTATTATGCTCTTGTGTTTCAGACTTACAAAGCTAATAGTGACATTACACAATCCTTATTCTCAGAATTACTTATGACTGCATAAAGCTTAAACCTAATATGATAGTCTTAGTTTACACCTTCTATCCATATCTCTTAAATAATGCATAATTACAAAAATTTGTGCATCAGCACAAATATTTAACTGAGAATTAGAACAAGTGAGAAAGGCAATTGCTGTAGTGTAAAAATCCATGAAGAGGAGGTGTCTATTGCATTCTTTAGCTGTAGCATCTGGGAAAGGATCATTAGTGTGTTTCCTCAGTGACTAACCAAGCCAAAAAGTCACAGCAGGAACACAGCTGAGGACAGAAAGAAAAGAAAAGGATTTTGAGCCCCACCAAAAATAATGTAAATCTCTTAAATCAAATTTCCATCCCAAACAAATTGGACTCATCAGAGTGGTGGATGTCTTATCTGCTGTGGAAGCAGATATGAGATTAAGTTCAACTCCTTTCTTCATGCAGTTCTCATTATAGCACTATCTGAACACCACCTCATAGTGCCTGTCCTGCATTACAGGTTCTTCTCCTCAGAGAGTGCCGTAAATTGTCAGAAAATCTCCTCATACAGTAAGAAGTGACATGATACATTTGTCATATTATCTGCTCTTTTGTTACCAAGGGAAGGAGCATGTGCAATTGAATGTTTTCGGTTTATTGTATCTGTCTGTTCTTCCATATGTCTTTATGTTAGTGAGGTAAGGCTGAAGTACTGTGTTTTGTTCTTCAAGCAAGGTGCAGTTATATTTCTGATGGCCCTTAGTTCTTAGGCAGTTTCATTCATTAGACTTTCACCAACCCTAAGAAAGTTCTGCTGTAGAACTTTCAGCTTTTTTCCCACTTCTTGCATAGGTCCTCTTATGTCAGACAAGGGAAACTGTTGCCAACTGGATCTAGTCAAGAGACCTAAAAGAGACTTCTTTAGGAATCCTGAGTTTATGCCCTGGAGAGTCCTGAGTCCCTGAATTTGTAAATTAAAATCTAGAGAAAATCAGCGTAAAGAAGGGCTTATAATAACCTACATTTCTAAGATGACATCCCCCCTGCAGCTTCCTGTACTTGGAGTTTCCTATATGCACCAGGCTTTGTGCTTGGGTATACTGGATTGCTTAGATCCAGTTGAGAGGTTGCAAAACCAAAGCAAGACACTTGTCTTGAAATGACAAAAAATCTCATAGCTAGGGATGGTTAGAAAGCTGGAGGTTGTCTTCTGGCTCAGGCATGCATTTACAAATTACCTTGCTATGTGTTTTTAAGATTTATTTTACAACTATAAGGATTAGAGGAATTTGTAATAATGAAAACTGGCGTTGTGTCATTACTGTGTAACTTTTTAGTTAGATTATCTGGCTTGCCTGGGCTCTTGCACATTATTCTATTTGATCTGGAAAGTTCCTAGGTAAGTTAGACCAATTGGGGGACACTACAGTACACACACACACACACACACACACACACACACACACACACACACGATTATAATAATTGTACACCTACATATTGTTTTGGTATTCAGTGTTTGTTTGTATATGGACATATAGCCAGTGGAAATTTGATTTTTTTCCTAGTATTTTTCTAATTTAAGCCCTGCCTTGCCCCTGATGCTCATCCAGCCTTCTAGATCCTTGTTATAGGTTCATCTAAGACTCTCTTCAGGCCTCCCATGTAAATTTTGTATCACTTGAATTTTAAAGTTTCAGTTTAATAACCTAGAGTAGTTAGTAGTAGTAGTTATTGTAACTAGTAGTTGAGTAGTAGTAGTTATTATAACTGTAGCTGAGCAACCTCCTTCATTTGTGTTTTGTTTTCTGCTGAGCCATTCAGTCTCTTATTTACCCTGACAAATACAGGATTTGGAATTCATTGCTTTTGCAATTTTAGTCTGCTTGCAATGATAGAGGTTGTAACCTAGAAAGGACTACAGTGGACAGCATTTACTATTGTACAGTGAAAACCGAGTTTTTAATTTGCCAGAATAAATCTGATCTAAGGATGATTCTGTAGACTGTTAGGACTGCTAGAAGTATGTGCTGACTTAGGATATGCATATACTTTATTAGATTTCCTGTGAACTTCCACATGAAAAATAAAACTGGCTTTTTTTCTTTTACCTCCTGATTTTTCAATAGCAAACCTTCCATTTAGATTTTTTTAAAGTCACTAAAATACTCAGTGTAGCATAAAGATTAGTGGTGTAGTCATCAAAAGGTTGGATTTCTATATTTTGTTAGCATCTTATAGTATTGACTCCAACATATCTATAGGCCTGACTCATAATAACAAACATATCCCTGAGAATTTAATAAAGAATTTGGTATTAAACTTAGGTTCTGTGGTAAAGTTTTGCCTAAATGGTCTAACTGTGACTTCTAAACATTTTAATATTTTTGTGGATTTAATGATTATAAAAAGTTTTGGCTTGGTATCTGTGAAAACTGAAGCCCATTCTTTTATTCATGGATTAATTACAGCAGAAGAGTGACCAAGTGGTCTTCTCCACAGCAGCCATGAACTTCAACCTTGAACTGAAGAAGACTCATCAAATGGTGAGAAAAGAGTGTGGTTGTCATGACTATTAAGTTAGGGATGCTCTATTATTTTTTCCTGTTTAGCACTGATTCTTTTGTTTTATAAGTATTGAAGTTCGATTTTTGTCGAGTAATTTCTGGGACCATAACTTAATTTTTCCTCCACACCCCATATTTCAGCTGTTAATTTTTCAAGCTTTGCTTTATTCCTTGCTGTCCCTAACTTCAAAAATAATTTTTAGTGATATGCAGAATTCATTAGTAAATTTATTTATTACTTTCGTTAGCCTTAGTCCTGTGCTTAACTCTGTTCACATGAATATTTTTATCAGTAGCACTACTTAGAAGTTTGAAATTCAGGATATATGAAGCTGTTTGAAAGACTGAAATTTAAATTTTACAGATGTGAATGCCTGCAACTAAATGAAATGCTACTGAAATGAATGCAGGAGTGGGAGATCTGAAAGTGCTTTTAGCTATTATTGGTTTGCTTGCTCTTTTGCAGTACCATTTGTTTCTTTTAAGACTGAAAGATGCAAGATGTTAATTTGCTTCTCTAATTTCCCAGTTTCTGGGAAATTTTGAACTCTGAACTTCACAACATTTATTAAATTTTAGTAGCGTTCATAATTCTCCTGGGAGGAACAAAACATTATTTTGTTTAGCCATTTTATGAAAAGGTGACTGAATATAGAGGAACTACTTCTTTATGTATTTCACTGCCTTAATCAGGTCTTTAATCCTAGTCATAAGAATCACTAGGTAATGATTTTTAGATCTATGGATTTATTAAACATAGATCTTGAAAATTAGGATTTTCCTTTCTTTTAGAGATACAAATAAAGGATGTAATATCAGTAGCAGGGACTTTTTTGTGTAAGAATATAGTTGTTAAGTGTTGTTGTGGGCTTCCTGATAATTTAGATAGGTAACAGCTTAAAATAACGGTGCACAGAATGATCCATAGCTCAGGAGATAGATTCCAGTGACCAGAATGCTCTTAGAGAATCCTGAGAGATATCCCAGATCTTTTTGGTATCTCAACAAATGGCTCAATTTTTGTTTTCCTTTAGTAACTCTATTGTAAAGTAAGGATTAAAAGGGAGAGAACCCTGTTAGTGGCTTATGATTTCCACAGTTTATCCTCTTGGAATATGGGATATTTACGCTGTCTCAGCTGTTTACCAAACTGGGTTTGGAAGCACAAATGCATTTAAATAGCCAAGAGAGATGCTGAGCCTTTTATGCCAACATCTGAGCTGTGCCCTGTGTTAAGAATTACTTTAGTACTGTTATCAACCACTAAACTTACTTAACCTTTGCCAAGGTTCTTTAGCATTTCATGTTTTAAAAACAAGGTTTAATACTTAAACCAGAAAGAAGTTTTCAGGCACAGTGCATTAAGATGTAACCCAGCGGTCATTTATTTTTAATACCGATTCAACAATCTATTTCTTTGTTCTTACTCAGCCATTTTTTCTTTAGTTTTCTTTTAGAGACCTGAAATCTTGAATTAATTTTGAGCATTTAACTACCTTCATTCTCTTCATCAAACAGTTAATCTTGCACTTAAGTAAAAATACTTGCATGAGTATGGGAGAGAAGAGCCTGAAACCACATTAGTCCCTTTGAATCTTGTATTTGCCTGTCTGGTAACCAGTGGGCTGGATTCATATCAGCGCCAAAGTATGAGTCTGACTGTTATTAGGGTAAGGAGCTGAGGCTCAGTTTTGAATGTGTTTTTGACACTACAGACCTAGTGAAAGATAACAATAGGATGTAAATTGATTTCCAAATTTAAGCGCTTCTTTAGTTGCTTAGCTGAGCAGAGTTTAGCTACTCCAAATGCTTAAAGTTAAATGGTTTTATTCACTTCAGGAGAAGAATAGGTAGGCCAATGTCAAACTGTTTTGAAAGGCTTGTTTTCATTACCCTGCTTAGAATATAACTTTGTTTCTTTTGTACCAGCCCCTTTTGGCTAAATCACTTTCACTTCCCTGACTCATCTTATACATGTTGTGTCCTGCTAACCTTTCTTCTAATGTCCAGTTTTCTATTAACTTTTCCACACTGATTATTCTTTGTCTCTCTTCTTTTTTACAGGAGTTTTAGAGTGGTCATTATACTTTTCCAATTTATTTCCTTCCTTCATTCTGGAATCCAGCAACAAATAAACCCCTCTGATTTCAAGTTTGCCTTTTAACTGAGAAATACACAAGTTAAAAATGTAATGCAATATCAATAGAAAGGGTAAACAGAGCATTGTGGATGCTATTTATAGAAAATAAACTGGGTTTTGCATATTATTAAAAACTATTCCCTAATTTGGGATATTGGAATCCAGGCAGTAAGATTAGGATTTTAAGGTGATGCTTTAAAAATCACTATGCTTAATCTAAAAAAAAAAAAAATAAATCAAAAAACCAACCAACCCAACTGAAAAACCCACAAAAGTGCAGGTATGCTGAATAGACTGATTAGACTTGATGTGGCTGTTTTATAGAGCTGTGTATCATTGAACTTTTTTTAAGCCTTAGGAAAGACAGTATGGAGCTGGAAGAGAAGCAGGGATCTTCATGAAGGGCAGTCAGTTATAGTTATGGTAAGTTAAAAAAAATACTATATTTCTGTTAAATTTTCCCCTTTATGAAGCAACCTTTATTCAGGGCCCTCTTCACCTTGCAAAATGAATCCAGTTTTATTGAAAGTATCTGCATTCTCTGGATTCATTTATGCTATCACTGTGTAACAATTGTCCTCTGTTGTATCTCACTTTGCAGTGTAACTCCTGAATGAAAACAGTAAGTGACATAAAAATAATTATTTTCACAGTGATTATGCTACAGTGTTTTCATGCCTAGGTTCTGAGCAAAACAAGATATATTATAGGATCATGTTATCTCCTAATAACTTTCAAATCCACTGCTTAATTTCAGCTGCATTTGATATAGAGTTAGAGGTCACAAAGTCAAGTTTCTGCAATTTGAATGAAATTTAGCAGCTGTGAATAGAGAAGGGACTCAAATTAGTGCCCCTGGGGTAGAAAAAGCTGCAGCATGGACTCAGAAATGTTCTGTTCAACCTGTTGCCTTGAAGGTTGGCATGCTTGGTTGGTCTGCCAGTCAACACATGTAGCTCAGACCTAGCCACAATGTGAGCTGTCTCTTGTTCTCCTAAACATCAGCAGCTAAAATTTAGAGAAATCTGTTTAGAAGGGAATGGGAAAACAGCCAGGCTAGCTTCAGCACAAGTGTGTTGGTGGCACCTGTAAGCATGCAGGTAGGTAGCTAGACATCATTATTTCTGCTAGTCATGAAAAATCCTTGGTTTTGCCAGGGCCTTCTAGTCTTCCAAAACAACTGTGTATCATTCCATGATATGGTGTTTTCTCTACCTAGATTAGAAAAATGCTTTTCTTGTCATGTCAGAGAATGGAACTGTTGAGACAGCTTCAGTATTTCATTTCTTTGGTTGCTTGTATGTTAGCTCTGAGCTATTTCTGAGGTTGTCAAAATTGTAAAACTGTGTTTTCAGCTCTCTTCAGAAACTGATGGTAATTTAGGCTGCAGCTATGTGTCCCTGACCCATCCTACAACCTACTCTTTTGGAACAGTGCAGAAAATATGCATTGTATTCCAATTAACTTCCTTTGTGAACAAAGATGTGGAGCTAGATACAGGGAGAGAAAACAATATTAGGATCTGGCTTCATCATGTTACCACATCACATTGCAACCTGGGAAATGCTAAATATGTAGCTGTGTAATTTTGTCACCAAAATCATACTGAAAGGTCTTGTCTGCCCATTCATCTCAGTCAGTGAGAAATGGGCAGATTACAAGTGCCAGAGGTGCTGTTACTCACTATTCAGGGTCAGGTAGGCACACTAACTTGGCATATGTCCAATATTTTTAAATTTTCTGTATTATGTTAGACAGGGGTCAAGATACAACACTCTTTAAACAGAATTTAGTGCTGTAGCATATTATTTAAAACCAGTTGAATTTCTCAGAATAACAAGAGTCATGCATATGAATTGTAAAATTTGAAAGAAGTAACATGAGAAGAAACATTTCCAGTTCAGTATCATAAGGTAACTGTCTTGAAATTTTGTCAGATTTTGTTTGCCCAGTTGAAAACCATCAACCTGGCAGCAAGGAACAAAAGCTTGTGATACTCTTTTCCATTTTCTGGTAATTTTCTTCTTCTTGTTTTTTTTTTTTTTTTTTTCCCCACAAAATCAAAGCCAAGAAGAGAACAATTAGTCATTAAAAATAAAATAATAAAAAAAAAAAACCTCAAACAAACTGCCTTCCATTTCATGAAACTTTTGGGTTGTCAGATTCTCAAATCCTTTCATTTGGTCCCAGCTTTTTTGTTTATTTGATTTTAAGTATTGTTGTTTCTGCAGACCTATCTGTATTAAAGGAATGAAGAAATGTTTTTTTGCATGTTTCTATGATCTATTGGTTCTTAAAACCTTTATCACAAATAGTCTTGCCTAGTGTCACCAGTTAAATATTACTTAATGGAACTTATAACTAACCAGCTTTTAAATGGTTATAATATATAAAAATACCGTAATTGACAACATTTTTTCTTTTAAAGACCAGCATAGATGTGTTTTTAATAAGAAGAGCAAGGTCAAATAATGTGAACAGCAAAGTGGTGGTGTTGTTTTACACTTTGTTGTGTGCTTCCTGTGTGTTAAATAGTGTTCACAAAATCCTTAAACTTAGCAAAGTTTTTCATAAGGATGTTTTGTTTTAAAATATTACAACTTTTTGGTCTAAGAATTACTAAATCTAAACTTCTTTTCATTATGTATTTTTGAAAACTTCAGTCATGGATGCTACTATATGTGGTCAGATACTTTCACATCAAAAAATTCACAGGCCTATGCTGCGTCCCTAAAATGGATGCTGTGGGACAGATTTTAAGAAGGTTGAAGCACTAAAAAGTGACTTGCACAATAGACCAAAGAAACCAGGATAATTAATTTTTAGAAAGTGATAATTTAAAAATTATATTTCAAGTAATATCAGTAAAAGCTTCCATAATGTGCTGTCACTACATGTAAAATTCATAAGCAATTTTAAGCCAACATTCTTTAAAGAAGGAGCTAAAAAATTCCTATTAAAAATATGCAACTTAAAGAGGTATGGAACTCCTTTATTATGTGCTAAATGCTGTAATAAAACAGGCTATCAGTAGGTTTTGCTGCATGTTACTAATTTTATTTTTTTAAATTTTGGTATTTTTGCAGGTGTGTGGAGGAACAGGTCCTGTTCTTGCTGTTGTTACTCCCACATAGGCAGACTCTGTAATTGATTATGTGTGGGTAGGGCCCTATTGAAATTCAGGAGATTCTGCAGTAGTGTGGGGTTCTTATTGTGAAAGTTCAGTTGCAAGATCAGGACCCTACTGTGACTACTTACTGTGCGTTCTGTCACTGTCTCATTGATTGTACTGGAACCTGCCTATTGGGATAATGTAAGTCCTACTTTTCCCCTGCTTGTACTTTATGTGAATTAATGTGAATTAATCATGAAACATTTCTAATTAGAAAATTAGTATAATTTACATGCATTCTTTTAATTATGTTTTTTTGGCAGTACCAAATACTATATTCCTCAAAACTTCTTAATGGCACTGAGGCTTTGTGGATAGTTGGTCACATGATGAGAAAATTCAGCTGTAAGTACATTAAAATGATTGACTTTTTCAATAGTTAGTCTTTACTGATGTTGGCAAAATAACAGTGATAAAAATGTGAATCAAGATGTTTGACTTCTGTCAAATTATTTCAGTTCTTTTTATAAAATATATACGGTATACCCATTAAGGATTTTATTATTCTTAGGTGATTCACCATGGGACCCTGAAGTTCTTCCTTACTGCAATTAGGTAGGGAGTTCAGAGCTGTTGGTTTTCTTTATTTTCAGAATGGTGTGTCTCTGACTTGCTCTGTGTTTTTATGGATAAACTTTTTGAAATTTATGGATCTATAAAAACTGTTTATAACACTAGTATTTGTATAGATAGTGCAAACTGATCTACAAACGTAATTGTCTTGCTGCATTGAATACTGAAATGTTAATAAATATACACTTATATTTGTGTCAGTGTATCTTGGTTAAATTAAACTGAGGTGACATTGTGAGTGAATTTGATCATACATGCTGATTACCTATAGTCTTAGGCAAGAACTACATATTACCCATATCATATGTCAGTGGATTCACCCAAAAATAGCTATAAATAGCTATGCTTGGGTTAAGGAGGAAGTTAATTTCTTGTAGTTATGGGTACAGTCATTGCTTTGACTCCTGTTTTTATATACAAATGAGCAAAAACTACATGTAGGTGTTTTCCCTGTATAACAAAAGGGGCATTGTAAACTCTGTGCCCTTTTTTATGATGTTGTATTTCCTTTCTGGTATTTAAATTCAAGGATGTTTTCAGCTGTGTCTTAATACAAAAAAAAAAAAAAAAAAAAAAAAAAAAAAAAAAAAAAAAAAGTTACTGAATTTGTGGATTATTACCAAGAGGCTGTAAAGGTCTGGAGGAATTGTGTGTAAGGACAATTAGAGATTATTTCTCATGAAGCAAGGACACAGATAATAATTGATGAGTAAAGGTTAAGGAGCACAGGATTATTTTTATTGCTTGGCACAAGAGCAGCATGAAATGAAAGTAATTTGAAGAAAAAGCAAGAGAAATCAGATCAGAAGTAGACTAGAGAGTCCAGTTAAAAAAAAACCAAAACAAACCAACAAACAAAAACCTCCAAAACCCTTAATATGGGTTTGAAAAATGTACCTAAATATAACTAAGTGGATAGCTACTGGTATTTTTCATTGCACCAAATATATGATAGATTTAAGTTTAAAATTTTCAGTAAATGCTATTCTTGAAGTTTTTTGTTTTCTTCTGCTGGAGAGGAGTAGAAGAACTTTGAAGCATTAAAGAAGACTCAGTGACTACTTGTGAATTACAGTATGAATTGGGGATTCAAGATGATGGTTACAACTAAGAAGAGAAGACAATGGGTTGCTATGCAAAATAAGTGCTAAGCAGAAGCTGTATTTTCTTGTTCAAACACAAAACTTAATGATTTTGTAATGTATAACCTTCAGCAGCGCTCAAACCACAATTTCATTTCAGAAACCTAAATCATCATTTCATTTCAGAAACTGAAATGTTTCAGAACACAGAACATTTCATTTTGCATAAAAAAATCTTGATCAGCATATTTTTAAAAAAAAAATCTTAGACCTAAGTATTTTCCATTTTCACCTTTTAATCATATTGGCCGTATAAAGTTTTTACTTGCAGTAAGTTGGGTGAAAGAAAGAAAAGCAGAATGAGATTAGATTATTACAAAAAATCACCCTAAACACAGCCTTCTAGCTGAGCCTCTAGATCAGAAGTGCCTCAGAACAGATCTAATTTCAGAGGACGAAAGGAAGGAAAGTGACATGCCAATGAGTTGGGTATGAGGAATCCTCTGCATGTTTCATCTCTGTCTGATTTTTTCTCTCATCACCACTGAGAGGGAGATCATCTCAGCAGTGTGACTGCTTCCCCTTCCTGTGAAACTTCCCAGTACTTTGAGGGAGATAATGTTGGGGCATAGCTCTGTTCTGTCTGCAACAGTGCTGCTACAAATGTTTAGAAGAGAAAGAACTCTGAATTGTCTCCTGCTGTAATCAGCTCTTCAATACTATCTGCTGCTTAGCCCTGTTGTTGAGTACCTGATCTGATGATCTCTTTCATTTAACTCATGCTGTGATGCTATAAATGACTGAAACCAGGACCAAAGCAAGAAAACAGATATCAAGAGAAGGAGATGATGTTTGGGAATGTAGGGAGTGGGCATTTGCTACACAGCTACACTTTGTCAGCTCTTGAGCTCTGTAATTCTTTGAGATCTCTTTCCCTACTGCTGTTTGCCCTCTGCTTGTGTCGTGACTGTCCTGAATGTAGGATGTCTTTATTTGTGCAATGAGGCACTCTTCACATTGTAACATCAGGAACATTGTTTTTCTTCAACCCTTGCAAGAAAAACATGGTAGCATAGATAACTGAAACATGTTAGTAATAAATGTAACACAAAAGAATTTTCTCATTTCACAGTATTTATAGGAAAAACAATGTTTTATGTGTTTCAAATACCTCTTCTTTTCCAATCTTAAGAAGATTTAATGCATGAAAATTTTCTTCAGCAATGCCCTCAGTTCCTTATTTGCAGTTGCAATTGTTGGTCTTTCGTTAGTAGGGTTTTTTGTATTTAGATTGCTGCCCTCACAAAACTTCTCTGGACCCTTTATGAATGACACTATCATGCTGTCATTTGTTTTGTCATAAAATCTAGTGTAAACCTGCATTTTAGGAATCTTTTTTCCAATCATTAAAGGATGATCGTTCTTCTCTGTCAGCAGGTTTTTCATAGATCGAGTCTTTATTAGAAAATCTTTTACTTTGCCTTGACAAAATGCAGTCTTGCCTTGCTCATTCGCTATCAAAGTGCTGCTCTACTGTAAATACCACTTCCCAAACCTATTCCTTTACTATTTTCAATTTTCTGCTTAGTTTTAAAGCAATCTGTCTCATTTTCAAGGCTCATCAGGACTACTTCTACCTGATACCTCTCCTTCAGTATCAAAAGGTTGACTCTGGTTTCGATCAACACATGATGCCAACTTCCATCATTTTGTCATTAAATTTTCAGATCACACTGAATATTTTCTCCTCATCTGCCCCTCATGTATTGGTTGACTTCTTCATAAACAGAAGTGTTCACTATCTTCCCTCTATTTTTTTCTTGAAACTTTTATGCACTGTGAAGCTTTAAGCAATCCAACTAGACAACAGTTAGATTGCAGGCATATTAATGCCAATGCCTATCACAGCAGTACTGTGTCATTGCATTTGGACTCTGCCATAATCCCTCTGTTGTCTCTTTATGTAGAATTTAAGCATATCTGTATTTTGTTGTGTGTTTATTCATGGCCCAGTGTAATATGAAGTGGCTGAATTGAGGCCTTCCAAGATTTATGGTAGTACAGATAAATAACAATGAACATACACTGGATGTGTAACTGCTTGGAAAACAGCATAACTGTTTGATCCTATTGTGCCTAATATGCCACATCATAATTTAATGCAGAAAGAAGGTGCTCCAACCAGAGGCCTCACAAAAGGAAAAGAAGTGAGTTGCAGCCAACAGAAAAAATGCTAGCCCAAGAAGCCCTCTTAGCTGTCAAACTCAAGCCTGTAGCTACTACCATTGTGTCCTGAAAGCATTCCTCTCCTCTCCTCTCCTCTCCTCTCCTCTCCTCTCCTCTCCTCTCCTCTCCTCTCCTCTCCTCTCCTCTCCTCTCCTCTCCTCTCCTCTCCTCTCCTCTCCTCTCCTCTCCTCTCCTCTCCTCTCCTCTCCTCTCCTCTCCTCTCCTCTCCTCTCCTCTCCTCTCCTCTCCTCTCCTCTCCTCTCCTCTCCTCTCCTCTCCTCTCCTCTCCTCTCCTCTCCTCTCCTCTCCTCTCCTCTCCTCTCCTCTCCTCTCCTCTCCTCTCCTCCTCTCCTCTCCTCTCCTCTCCTCTCCTCTCCTCTCCTCTCCTCTCCTCTCCTCTCCTCTCCTCTCCTCTCCTCTCCTCTCCTCTCCTCTCCTCTCCTCTCCTCTCCTCTCCTCTCCTCTCCTCTCCTCTCCTCTCCTCTCCTCTCCTCTCCTCTCCTCTCCTCTCCTCTCCTCTCCTCTCCTCTCCTCTCCTCTCCTCTCCTCTCCTCTCCTCTCCTCTCCTCTCCTCTCCTCTCCTCTCCTCTCCTCTCCTCTCCTCTCCTCTCCTCTCCTCTCCTCTCCTCTCCTCTCCTCTCCTCTCCTCTCCTCTCCTCTCCCTTCTAGTATAAGGAAGTAAATGCAAATATCACAAAGGTGTGCAGTGTATGCAGAAGGTTTTCTTATACTTTCATAGCTAACTTCTTTAGTGACACAGCAACTCTTGGTACAGAAATATTGAATAACCATAATTGTGCCATTCATCAGTCCTTTTTTCAAATGCCATTTGATCTCTGTTGGGAAGGAACCTACACTAATTTTTATTTGGTATCTTGGCACATTCCTATCTCATAATGCAGTGCTTCCATTGTGCTTCAAAAATAATGAGTCTTCAGAAAAGTGGTAAGGATTAATTCAATTCGGAATTCCCCAGGTGTGTCACTCTTTTTGTGTAAGTGGGTCTACATGTAACCCTTTCTTTTAAGGGCACCCTGAAATGTCAGTGTTTAGATTGTACAGAGCTGATGGAATGTTGAGTGCCTGGCTGATTACATGGTAGATGGTAGATTGGACTGTGCAGACAAATGGTGCAGTATGTACCAAAGCACATATAGTCCAATAGTCTAACTTGAAAAGAATAAACCACAAAATGTACTTCTGTGTGGTTCTATGGCTGAGTAGGAGAACTTTAGTAGAGCTCTGGACTAGTTGATGAGATGGAGGCAATTGCTATGAAATACTGTGGGAGCCTGGGGAGTCTGTACAACCCAAAAGCTTGATCTTAGCAACAGTTCTTGGTTATATATGTATAGACTGGATAAACTTAATGTTACACCTCATTAGGCCATCATGCCCAGGCTGTGTATTTAGATATCATTGAGCACTAATTTTTGAGCAAACAAGATAGGGAATCCAGAAGGAGAAAGAACAGCCCTTGATTTAGTCTAGATCAACATACAACAAATGACTGGAAGAACCATTCAGTAGTGAGATATCATACTCAAGTTTGTTGTACTTGTAGGAGAAAAAAAGATTAAAATAAAATTTTAAAAAATTCCAGTCTTGTTTAAAAAAATAATTGTATACTAATAAAGACAGTTTAAATAAATATTAAAAATACACAGGGGCTTT